ATCAGTGTCTCCACATGATGTTCGCACAGTGGCTTCCTGATTTGGGTATTGCAACTGTACCAACTTGACCAGATGTGTTGGCACCCCTAGGTCTTCTAGAGCTCTCCACAGCTTATCATGATCGACACAATCAAAGCCTTTCTTGTTGTCAATAAAGCTGATGTAGATGTTCTTTTGATATTCTTCAGATTTTTCCATGATCCAGCGTAGATTTGCAATATGGTCATGAGTGCCACAACCCCTTCTGAAGCCAGCTTGAACATCTGGTAAATTCCCTTTTGATGGTTGGCACCAGACATAGTTGTATGATCTTAAGGAGAATCTTGCTTGCGTGAGGGATGAGAGCAATTGTGTGATAATTGGAGCAATCCTTGGAGTCACCCTTTTTTGGCAATGGAAAGAACACTGATTGTTTCCAGTCCTGTGGCCATGTGTCCATTTCCCAAACTTTCTGGCACAAGGCTGTGATGGTTGTGGGTGGTACAGGTCTCAGCAATTCTGCGGGGATGGTATCAACACTTGGGGCCTTGTTGTTTGGCAGTTGCCTCATTGCCCACGTGACTTCTTCCTGAAGGATGGCTGGTTCTACTTCTACTTCCCTTTCCTCATCATCCTGAAGAGGCTGGGCCTCTTTGGTGCTGCATACAGCTCTTCTGTATATTCTCGCCATCTGTTCTTAACACCTTGTTGGTCAGACAGTTCTTTCCCTTACTTGTTTTTGATGATGCTTTTATGAGCAGTAAATGGTGTTCAAATCCTTTTGACTTGCGCAAATGTATTCGTGATGTGGCCCTTCATGCAGTCCTCTTCTACCTACTTGCAACGCTGGTCCCAGTAAACTTCATTGTCTTTCCTTGCTGCTCTTTGGAAATCTGCTTGTGTGATGGAATGTGAGGGTGACCTTGGAAGATTGCGGGGGGGGGGGGGGGGGGGTGCCACCTAGGGAACAGTCAGATAAAAGAGAAGGTCCGCAACAGAATAATGGCCAGAAAAAGGGAAAGAAGGACCCATCCTAACTAGTCAGGGAGTAAATAGATTTGTACTTTCAGACTTGCAAGATTCTGTTATTGTAGCCTTACAATAAAGTAGAATTAGCTCATCTAGTTGTGTTTCCTGTCTGGTTTACCTGGGAGGGCTGACATGTTGCTTCCTCCTGTTTGCCTGCTGCTTTAGTTGCTTTTCTTCACTCAGCTATTCTGATGGTTTCATCTGAGAGCCACTTGCGCTTTTTCTCTGCCTTCAACTACTATTTCAATGATAGTCAATTGAATTTCTTGTCACAGTTTGTCGGGCATCTTCTCAGCAGTGTCCAGCAGTTCAAACCAATTTTTCACCTCAGTTAGGTATGTGGAAGGGATTTTGGTGATGTCAAACTTCTTTGGTGGTGCTGTCTTTTTGATGTTGCATAATTTGGCTCTAATCTTAGCCACCCACAATTCATGATCTGAACTGCCATTGGCACCCGGATATGTCTTAATAGCGAGGACTGAACTGGACCATCGATGGCTGCATAGACATTGTCAATCTGATTTCAGGACAGTTTATTTGGTGAGGTCCAAGTGTATAAGCAACGCTTGTGCTGTTTGAACCAAGCATTCTTGATTCAAAAACGATTTTCATGGCAAAATTGAACCAAACAATTGCCTGTATCATTCCTGTTCCCAAGTCCAAAGCTGTCAACGATACCTGTTTCTGCTTGACTGCCAACTTTTGCATTAAAATCACCCAATATGTAAATGATGTCTTTTTCGGGCATTTGCTTCAGAGTTTTTTTGATGCTGGAATAGAAATCCTCTATTTCAAGCTCCGTTGCATCAGTCATTGGGGCGTAGACTTGGACAACTGTGATTTTGAGGGGCTTGACATAGATTTGAATGGTCATAATGTGATCTTTAACCATTGAGAAGCTTTCCATTGCTTGGGCGAGTTTCTTGCTTATGATAAATGCTACTCCATTCATCTTCCTGGTGTTATGTCCTGAGTAATAGAGAATGAATTCCTCAGACTGGAAATAGCCATTGTCTATCCAGTGTAGCTCACTGATGCCAAGGAGGTCAATGATATCCAGTTTACCCTGACTCGTTCCTTGGACATTCCCCATTGCTATCCAATGTGACTTTGTGCAGCGCAGACCCTTGCTTTCACCAATGGCTGCATTAATAGCTGGGATTCCTATTTATTTATTTATTATTGAGAAGAAGGAAAAAACACATAGAAAGTGCTTTAACAAAAAAGTGAAAGAAATATAACAAAGAAAAACAAATGTTAATATGTCATTGTAACAGTAAGCAATTACAATTCTATATACTGTATACTTATCTAATGCAAAAATTATTCAAGTACATATGTATTTCTAATACATTTATATGACTATCATGTTTGTTTATTTAACCTACTGTATTTGTATAAATGAGTCATATTTGTCCATACAAAGTCTACATCTAAAGGCAATCCACTTGTAAATAGCAAGTGCAATCAGGTCTTCAATCCATTGAATAAATGGGGCCATACATTTATCTTTCCAATGCTAATATCAGAATCCACTTGTAAATAGCAAGTGCAATCAGGTCTTCAATCCATTGAATAAATGGGGCCATACATTTATCTTTCCAATGCTAATATCAGAATCCACTTGTAAATAGCAAGTGCAATCAGGTCTTCAATCCATTGAATAAATGGGGCCATACATTTATCTTTCCAATGCTAATATCAGTCTTTTGGCCATAGTAAGGGCACAGAGAATCTATTCAACTTGTCCGGTTGTCAAGTTCCATGTGCTAGGTATGTAGTTCAAAAGAATACTATTCTCTGAAAATTTTAGTTTTTGTCACACAGTCATATTTATATACCCCACTACTTTCTCCCAAAACTTGGTAAGTATAGGACATTGTAGAAACATGCATTTTAAAGAAGCATTATTCTTGTTACATCCCCAACAAAATGCTGTTTTTGACAATCCTTTTCTATACAAACGTAATAGAGTCCAATAAATTCTAAATATTATTTTTTGTTGTAATTTGAGGTCCATTGACACTCTTGCTGTAGAAGTTAAAACACTCTCCCATTGTCTAGACAATATAGGAATCTCTAATTCTTTATTCCACTCATTTGCATATCAAATTGATTTATTGATACCAAACATCTATAACAACTAATAGTAAGTTTTTCAGTTTTAAAGATTTAGTAAGTTGTTCTAATATCTGAAGTATCTCAGAAGCTGAAAATGCTGCGGGGATCAGCAGCTGGGATTTCTGCTGGATTTGCCCCATTAATGCCTTGACTACTCACTGCAGGTCCTTGCTCTTTCCCAGTAGCTTGTTGGGTACCTTCTGACCTGGGGGTCCTACCATTGGGCACCATAGATGATTCATTTGAGAGCCTTTCCATAATTTTTTTTTGGCGACGTTTTTACAAGGTAGGTCGCCAGGTCTTACCTCAACCCTTCCCATTTATCCAGGCTTGGGACTGGTGTGCAAGTGCATGGCTGGGTTGTACCATGTACCGTATTTCCTGCAAAGTAAAACTCCCATCCGTACGTGGGCTGGATGTAGGGTTAGCTAAAGCAGATTCCTCGAGGTTCTTGATGAGATTAACAGCACAAGTACTTGCTAAGACATGAATAAATTCAGATTCTCACATGCAAATTCATTATAAGAGCTTATATAAGTATGTATATAACTGTATAATACCATTATATAAGGTAAATATTATACATACATACATACATGCATATATATAATATTTATAAGGTATATAAATATAATACATTATATAAGGTAAACCATGCAGGCAAATAGCACATCGAAGCAGCGAAATGGGGCTCTGGAAGAACATTCAAAGGGTGCCAAAAGTCTTGCGGTGTCGTTTCTCTTCTAGGATTAGATACTGGAGAGGAACTGTAGGGGGACCAAACAGAAGATTAATGGTAGTGAAAGTAATGATTAAAGGTAGGGGGACCAAATAGAATATTCATGATAAAAACGAGCGCAGAACGGCCCAACGCAAGACATCCTCGCGTGGCGCAGACCTAAGTGCGTACGTGTGTGTGAACCGGTAGAACACGTGGACGTCCTCGGCAACGGGCAGAGGGCGCTCCTCGAAACCCTCTCCGTCTCCCGGAGGGCGGCGCGAGCGGCCGCGATCACAGCACATGCTCGTGATGTTGAGGCATGCGCCGACTGCAAGACGTTGTGCTCGGCGGCAGAGCTGCGGTTTCTCTTGGGAGGGATTAAGTGACGCGCTCCGCGCCGGAGGATCTTCCCGGCAGCGCGGGCGGGTCTCGCCTCCGCCGCCGCGACGGCGCTCTCGCTGCGGCCGCCTCCGCTCCTTCCCTAGCCCTGACCGGCCACCTGCCCCTATTGTCCCCAAGCCATGTGACGGGGAGGGTGACGGAGCACTTTTATTTGCTTAGTCATCGCTCCCCAGCCCTCTGAGGAGGCGACTCGCTTATACCCTCCTCGCCCTTACCGAGCCAAGCCCGGCGACGCACCACCTCGCCGGCAGAGAGGGGCAACCTGGACGTTGACATGGGGACGGAGAGCGGCAGGGCGGCGGTCTTGCTGGGGCAGGCGCGCACCCTCAACCTGCAAACGGGCAACCTGCTCAACTGGGGCCGCTTGCGGAAGAAATGTCCGGCCACCCCCAGCGAGGAGGTGAGCTTAAAGAAGAGGTCCGGGGGGTGGGAGACGGCGACTAGAGGGCATCCATTGATGCCTTTCCGACGAGACGTAACCCGCCTTCGAGGGGCGAAGGTGGGCGCTGGGCGCGCGGAATGGCATTCGTCTGCATTCTGGCTTTGGCACGGCTTGCGCGAGGGCGGATGGATCTGCGGCGAAGTCAAACCTCGTTTGGTGACTGACTTTACTGCCCTCCTGTAATAAAGATTGTTTGGAGTCCCAGAATGTAGGTTTATTCCTCACATTTACTGAGGACCGAGCTAACCTTAAGCTCTTAAGCCTGTTCTAGCAAATCTAGCCTGTTCTAGCTAACAGCTCTTAAGCCTGTTCTAGCAAATCATATATATGTATAACATACTGCCTTGCAATACAGTATCTTTGTTTTGGCCTTTCCCTACCAAGAATCAAAACATAAGAAACTGTGGACTTAACTATAACACAATAAATCTTGAGCCTGTAAGAACAGTGAGACAGAGTTCAAAGATAAGGAACAGCTGCAAAACTGCTGTAAAACCAGAAAGACTGTAAAGCTGTGATATGAACACATTTTTTTAGTCAACATTCAAGTGATGAATAAAATATATAGAAATTATAATGTATATATTTATGGTGATGTTGTTGTATAGTAGATGCACATAACTTTTCCAAAGGTCTGACTGCAGTATCTCTCAGAATAATTGGTTCCAAATAGGTCAAAGTAAAACGCATGTGGTACCACAAAGATTAACACATTTATTATGACATAAATATTTGAGGAACAGAGTCCACTTCAGGTTCATAAAGTGTTACACTAATTACAGGACTCTGTATGTGTGTACTTGTGTGTACATAGACATGAGTGTTTATAGAGATGGAGGGATGATAAACAGTGAGGTCAGAAAAAAACAATAACAGTAATAGTAGTAATAGTCTTCTTAACAGTAGTCATCCATTGTATGGTTGTACAGCCGATTGCATGGGGTGTCATTAAAAATAGTTTGTCTCTGTTCAGGTCACAAGAGATAGAACTGAACCTCTTGTTAAAACATAGCAGGGTTAGTCCATATCACAGCCTCCCTGCAAAGCTTTTTTGCTCCAGCATGGCATCGTTAATACCTGTGACAGATGTTCTCAGAGGTATCAGGTTGTAAATAAATTATTAAATCTTGCAGTACTATTGATAGATGAAATACCGAGGCTTGACATCTGGCACTGCTGCAGGACTGGAGTGGAGGGAGGGTTGTAGCATGTTGCTGGTAGTTATTATAGGATGGACAGCTTCTCAAGTGCAACCAACCCATTATTCATGGTGGGGTGTAAGTATTGCTGCATGAGGAAACATTTGAATTATTCTAATTGGAAATTATAGTACCATTCAGTTGTTTCCTCTTTTTGGCTTGTCCTGTCATAGGTAACTACCTACTACACCATCTACAAATGGTGTGTGGGTTTTTGTTTTTTTGTTTTTTGTTTTGGATACTTTAAGAAGTACATGTTACAACCTGATAAATCCTTAATATTAGTTGTGGTGATCTCATTGTTTCACTGAATTTGTGGTATGTTCTAGAAACAAATCAATATGAATAGTAGTTAGGTGGTGCTTGTATACACTGGCAAAATAGTCAACGTGTTCCATAGCTATGAGGTCAAAGTTCTAGTGAAACTTGGGCAGTGCTTCCTATCCATGAAACAGGATTACAATGATGGCTTCAAGGTATTTCAGGTAAAGGGAGACAGCTTCAGGAAGAGAAGCTAAGAGGATGTTTTCATTCAGCCATGGAAATGGTGGTGTGTTATGGATCATGCAGGGGCCAAATTGTTGATTTAAAATTTCATATTGCAAGCCAGGAATATGAACAGTTGAAAGTTTGATCAGTGGTTATATTGAAGTTAGGAAAGTCTGCCTTAATCTGGGGCTCTACAAATATTGCCAAAGACGACAACTAGCACCATTCCCTATTGACTATACTGTCTTTGGCTGCTAAGAGGTACACATCAATAATATTTGAAGAAACACAAGTTCTCTGCCTTTTCTTTAAGACAGTGGTTTAGATTGTTTACTCAAAATAACACCTGCAAAGATAAACTTTTCTGTTAGGAATCAGTTTTATTTTTCATTAAAACAAATGATGTAATGTACTTCTAGCTTCATATAAAATGTGAACAGCTTGAACTGTGTAGTAGTTTTGTTGCAGCACATAACTGCAAAATATCTTTGCCTCACCCTGGTTGTAATTGCAGAATGGAATCCTGGTGTAATTAAAGCAGGAAATCACATTATGGCCTCAGGTCATATGTGGAGGTATGACCTACTGTAAGATGCTAACACTTGAGACACTTGGGTTTGTTTTTTTTTAACCATCTAAATATGGCATTTTACAATTGCAGAACAAAGACTGCAAATAAAATTGTATCAAAATTATTTGATCAAATATACTCAAGTATCATATATTTACAACAAGACTTCCTTTTGCCCAGGTATTTAAAACTCATTCATTAAAGTTTGGTTTACTAATCAAGGAAATTTTAAGGTTCTTATTTCAAAATTTTAGTTGAGAGAGAGAGAGAGAGAGAGAGAGATACACACACACACACACACACATACATACACATACATACATACATATACGCATGCATGCATGCATGCATGCATGCAGTGATAGTTTGTGAACCCTTTTGAATTTTCAATATTTCTGCATAGATATGACCTTAAACACGGTCTGTTTTCCACACAAGTCCTAAAACTAGATAAAGAGAACCCAATTAAACAAATGAGTCAAAAACATACTAGTTAGTTGATTTATTGAGGAAAATGATCCAAAGCTACTTATTTGTGTGTGGCAAAAGTATGTGAACCTTTGCTTTCAGTGACTGGCATGCTCCCCTTGGGCAGCAATAACTGCAACTAAATGTTTCCGATAACTGTTGATCAGTCCTGCACATCAGCTTGGAGAAATTTTAGCCCATTCCTCCTTGTAGAACATCAACTCAGGGATGTTGGCGGGTATCCTTGCATGAACTGCCCGCCTCAGGTCCTTTCACAACATTTCTGTAGGATTAAGGTCAGGACTTTGATTTGGCCATTCCAAAACATTAACCTTATTCTGCTTTAACCATTCTTTGGTTGTACACTTTGTGTGTTTTGGGTCATTGTCTTGCTGCATGACCCAGTTTCTCTTGAACTTCAGTTCATAGTTTCATCAGTGATGGCAAAGTGGCCTGGTCCAGAGGCAGCAAAGCAGCCCCAAACCATGATACCGCCACCACCATGTTTCACAGATGGGATAAGGTTCTTATGCTGGAATGCAGTGTTTGCCTTT